TGAAATTTGGAATTTAATTTTAACTCTAAATTTATGGCAGAATAAAACTTGAAAATAGAGTACCCCAAGAGGAAAGTATTCTTGTCTCTGAATATATCGAAGTTGATTGACTAGGTCATTTTGTTTTGAGAATAAAAGAAGTATAAAAATCTGCCTGGCACTGTTTATCCAACAGTATGAAAAGCACAAGTCTTCAGGACTTAGCATTCTCCTTGAGTCAAGTTTCTAAAAAAGCTTTTTTAAAAAAATAAAAAAAAAAAAACCAGACACCATTTGGAAACATTTTAAAAATGCAAAGACAAAGAATAGTCTTTGAGCTCATAAGCCTGAATTCTACTCTGGGACATGAAGTTTACTAAAAAAGTTGGTAGTGAAAATGACCCAGGTGTATTTTACAGATTTGGTAAATTGCTCCCACCAGAGGGGAAGATTATTTGATGCATCTTCATGCACCATCCTCTCTGCAGTTGACTTCATAAAAAACAACACTTCAGAAAATATCCCTTGGTACCACTGTCAAGAGTCCAAGCTCTGGCTCCATGGGCAATAGCAGCTTATGCTTTCTTGTGAAAAATGAAAAACCGTCTCAGCACATTATGATGTTTCAGTATTGAGCTTGTCTGAGAGTTTCTGCCAGTCTTGAGTTAGTGGTCACCTTACAATTTGAGGAAATTTCCTTTGGGTTGTAGAACTTAAGTGATCACTTTAAATCTATTCCACACAATATATTACAGTGTGCTTATGCCTCTCACATTACATCCCTAGATAGACCTCTGACTTTGGGCAAATAACCTTGTTCATCCATTTTGTCTTCCATCTCCTGAAAACATTGACAGTTGTGAAAATCAATATTCTAAGTTATGAGTATAGTATGCAACAGATTTGGAAACAATGCCCAGCAATGATACTTTTCTGGTTAAAACAAATTTTCATTGACTCATAAGACAAATATCTGAGGTTCTATGTATTAATAGGACATCATTGAAAGTAACTGTAGTTCCCACTCCTAGACCTATCTCCTCTCCCAGTCTCTGGCTGATTTTTCAGAATATACAGAAACATTGCAGAACATTTCCCTAGTCTGAGATCCTGAAATCTCACTAATATTATGCTTCAGTCTACTAACAAATACTTATTTAGCACTTGTTAACCCCTATTAGGATTGTGCTAACTCAGCCCGGAAGGGTGATGGTCTGTGCATCAAAGGAGAAGAAAAAAGTCACCTCTCACTTGTTAATGAGTGATATTAATAACTAGTGAGCAATTATTTGTGTCGTACACTGTACTAAAACTTCTAAATCTATGTCATTCATTCTTCACAACAATCCTAAAAGATGGATCCTACTATTCTCATTTTCCAGATTACAACACTAAGGCTCATAGCTTGTTCACCAGTAAGTGTTAGGGCTACTACTTGTATTTGAACCTGCTTTGCTTCTGTACTGTTAATACTATTACTATTATACTTAAATACTTCATGAGCTATGAAGAGCAGAATTTCTCTACCTTTTTTTGTTCTGGTTTGTTTAGGTTCCTGGTCTTTCTTTTAATTTCTTCCATTTCTTTTCCTGCAGAATGATTCATTAGCAGACATATTAAGCATGTATTGTGGTAAAATAGTGGCACCCTACCTCTGCAAAATAAAAGCTATAAGAAACTACATAATTTTTGGAGAGTGCATTAAATAAGTCAGGTGATACGGAGGACTTAATGTTAGTGAAACTTCTCATTGCCTTTCTATAAGTTTAAAACTACTTATAAACTCTCAGACTCCAAGTTTATGTACATATAACAACTGGGGTAGTGTCGTATATATTTGATTACCAGCATGCAAGGAAGATTTTAATTCCTGGTGCAAGATTATAAACAGTCCAGTAATCTCAAACCCTTCTAGGAAGAAGAAGGGATCATTTTTCTTTTTCCATTCTGCACCTTTTCTTTTTGCTTATTCATCATGTTTTAAATAAACAGACCAAAGAAAGTTGTTATTAAAGCCCTCCTCAGGCTTCTTCAATTTCAGTATTAAACCAAGTTCAAAATATTCTGGCAAAAATTAAAGGCAGCATTAGAAGGTTTCCATAAATTTTAAATTGTGCAAAAAAGTGATAAAACTAAAATGTGCTGAAAAAATGACTAATAAGCATCTCCTGTTATTTTTTTTTTTTACTTTTTATTGTAATCAGTGATTATTCTGCATTTTAAAAATTGGTTCTAAAGTACACTCCTTTTCCAGAGTCTCTGTATCCCATTTACTATTCTATATTTAATTTTCTGGAAGTTTAATATTTACTTTTGAAAGTGTAAAGGCTTATTAGCATGTTAGTAAATTATGTGCAATATCTGTTAACCATACTTCTGTATTTGCTCATAAAGTGAAATAGCAAATATTACCTACAAGAGACTCTATGCCTTTACTACATTCTGTTGTAATAGTAGTCCCAAGTTATCAGTTTACTGTTAGAAAAGGAAGAACTAATAAATTTGTCACAAATGAAACAGGAGTTGGAGCAAGGAGGCCATATATGGGCTCAGTGATGAATCCAAACTCCTGCAGTCAAGATCTGGAAGAATTGGGGAATCAGAATAATAGGGGTGTCATTTAGCTGCATGATATCACAGCTAATTAAGTTTAGATTTTTCACTTTTCTCTGTTCTTTCTTCTGCTATTTCCCCAGTGGTATTGACTGTGTGTGCTTCTACTAGCCTGATGTCAGACCCAGAGAAGTAAGAAAGAGTTGCAACTTACTTAACAAAGGCAAATGGCAAAAACATAATCTCTCCTTTATTATATCATGAAATAAATATAAAAATGTGTACAAATAACAGTTTTTATTTGATCATTAAATTTTATTGTGATATAGTATACTTTATTACACTGTCACCTGATGTCTATTAAAAATGAGATTCTGAAATGCTGTTCTGGCATATGTAATTTTAAGGAAGAAGCTCCAGAAGAGTGTTCCAGTGCATCCCCTAACCTTTACCAGGCAAAAACATAAAATAGCCCTGATGCTAATAAAAAAATATTTATTGTCTTATTTGCTCATAAAACTGCACTGTCATGTGGTATTTCCATTAGCTCTATTTTTGCAGAGCTGTTAAAAGGAGAAGGATCTCTCTCTCTCTCCATATATATATATATGCACACACACACACACACACACATATATATATGTTCACATACATGCATACATACATACATATATATAACTTTTAATTTGTTTTTGAGAGTTAATATAGACTCTTTTGAGTCAGGCAGACCTAGATTAAAGTCCAAGCCCCATTTAATTGTGATGTGAACTTCAACACATTTAATGTGTTTGAGTCTGTTTAACTTCAGATGAATGAAATTAATAATATCCTTCTCCTGGAAGTTTTTGTGAGAATTAAAAATAAGAACATCAAAAAGATACCTGCACCCAAATGTTTATTGCAGCACAATTCACAATCACAAAGGGGATGGAATCAACCCAGTGCCCATCAATTCATGAATGGATTAATACAATGTGGTATATGTATACCATGGAGTGCTACTCAGCAACAAAAAAGATGAATTAATACCATTTGCAACAATCTCGATGGCACTGGAGACCATTCTCCTAAGTGAAGTATCGCAAGAATGGAAGAACAAGCACCCCAATGTATTCACTATTAAACTGGAACTAACCGATGAGCACACAAGTGCACAGAGAGAAGTAAAACTCAGTGGAGAGCAACCAGGGGATAGGGAGAGGAGGGGGAGGGGAATAAACCAGCCTAATGGGTACTCTGAACACTGTTTGGGTGATAGGCACACGTATAGCCAGGACTCAAGCATTACAAAAATGATCCATGTAACCAAAAACATTACCCACTTAATATTTTAAAATAAAAAATAAATAAAAACAAAAATAGAAACATATAAGTACCCAATACAATGTTGGCACTTAAATTTTCAGTGAATAGTGTTGATTGTTATGATATTAGTAATTTAAAGGGTTGTTTTCATTAATAGCCACAACACACATACCAGTGTCCCTTGTGTTCTTCAAATTAAGGAAGCCCATTCCTGTCCCAGGACCTTTGCATTTGCTACCTCCTTTCTCTGTAATATTCTTCCTTTAGCTCTTTCAATGGCTGGCTCATTTCTGTCTTTTAGGTTTCAGCACAAATGTTACCTCTTCATGGGGACTTAACCTAACCCACCTGTCTAAAGTATTTTCATGTCATGAAATATTATCCTTATTCTGATTGTTTCAGCCAAATAAAAATACAAAGACCATTTTTAGCTCATGGGTCTAGAAAAACATGTGGCTGGCTAGATTTGGCCCACCCTGCCTTAGAGTGAACTAGTTTAATGGTTCTCTATCTCAAGAATGTGGGTTTTTGAAAAGATGAACTGGCATGGGTGAGTCCAAGAATAAATTTTTGAGTTCTTTCTCAAAGAATAAATTTCTGTTGGTAGCATTTTAAATAATTTGGCAAATGAAAAGAAGGTATGATTTTGAATAATCAGACATCCTGAACTTGTACAATGTCACCACATCAGGGCTCCATTATCCAAAGGTGCGTAAGTGCTACCAGTAGCTTTCATTACAGGCTAAAACTGCCCCGATGCAACTGTTATCAGACTCCCATCTTATTTATTTCTTCATTTCTTAGACTTTGAAATTTAGGATGAGTTACTTCCAGGGCTAATTTTGAAAACAAGACAATTGAGGGTACTTTGAACAAAATGACTATTCTTTATTTATAATCCTGAAAAGTAAAATGTTTTAAATTTTAAGTAATGATTTCCTTAAAATTTGTCGCATTAAATGGTTAAGGAATTATTTTGGGGACCATTTTAAAAGTACTATATGATATCATTTTCTCCAAATGCAAAAATGTAAAAACTTTGAAATTAGTATAGTCTTCTTAGTGTTATTTTTATACCTAATTACTATTTATAGCACTTTTAATTACTTTAAGATAATAGAACCTTTCAACTCTTTTTCATAACTCACATCTCTCTTAAACAGCCGAAGCTATGGTTTAAATCTCTGCCTTGGGAAGATGCTAGTCAGACTACAGTGAAAAATCAGAATGAAGCTCAATTTGAAGAAAAAGCAGTTAAGTATTTCATAGATAGGAATATTTAGGATATTTGGAACTAAACAGTCAAAACATATCTGCTTTATTTTAGGGCATATAGGATAATCCAGCCTTCAGGTATACTTCTCAGAAGCACAACTAAAAACTAAGTTTTGGGGTTGTTCTTTTCCTCAGCTTTCTTAGATAACATGAATAGTGTACCACTGATTATCAGAGTATAGATAACCTGGCGTTAGTTTTAAATTCTTCAACCATATTTCTCTTCTTGCTTGTGCTTGTATATTAGGAAATGGAAAATAATAATAGCTTTAGTCTAAATAAAGTGGAAGTAGGAAGCAAGAAAAAACTACCTCGTCTCAGCCAAATGTATTATTTAAAGATCTTCTGCTTAGTTGTGATTATCTTTAGCAGCAGCCTCTCCAGTGTGGAATGCTGAGAGGTGACTGCACAGAAGCACACAGAAGGAATATGGAAATGAGGGCTGAGAAAGAGAGTCTCTAATATAGTGTTACTTGCGCTTTAATTCCTGAAAACTGTTGAGTAAATGACTCTGCATATAGATTAGTTTGTGGATTTTTAGAAATGTCCAAAGGTAAGCAATTTAATTCCTAAGATGAACTGTTTGCTTGTACCATTTAATGACTCAACCATGTGACATGCATGATAGTCAACAATCAAGTGCTATAATTCAAATATTTAGCAGAAAGGGGCTTGGGAAGAAGGATTCTATGGTTAGATGGGTTTCCTTGCAAATATTCTTCACCTAGAAGCCCAGGAGACATGTGTCCTTGGGGGAAACAAAGCAGATGTCAGCCTCGGGGAGTCTCATTAGACCAGCTGTATTTGGTGGCAGTCAGATACATACCCCTTTGTATACCTAAAAATGAAAGCATACCCTACTGTTTTCTGTAAGTTCTGCATGACACTAGCCTTCTCATACATTATGCCACAATCACCATTGCAATATAATTTGCACAGGAGTTCAGAACATATTCTGCTGATACATGACTAACCTCACAACTGGAGACATGTACTTTACTGTTGAAAATGTAAATCCTTGAAAAAAACATACGATGTGTTTGTTTTTGAATTGTTGGCTTTCTCCCCCTACTACTCACCTCCTCATCCTCCATCTTTTTGGAGACAATCTCTGAAATTGCATTGCCCCTAACCACCATCGTAGTCTTTATTTTATTTGCAAATAATTTTTAGTTCTTCCCCAGTCCACATGTCACTCTCCTTTGTTACCTGTTACCAGCAGTTTCACTATGAAATTGGGCAGTCCCTGGAGAGGATAATTCTGTGTCTTTTGTCCTTCATTTTGTTTGAAGTCATATTCTGTAGGCACATACCTGTGTGCCACATTATATAGTGTTTTAAAGGAAGAATCTTGAAATGCTGCTTCATTTTAAAGGAAAAAAATTTCATTGTTTTGCTTCGTGATTTGAAATATAAAGTGTAAATCTGAGATTTTTTGGTATCAATTTCATATAACTAATTGGAAGTATTTATAGGGTCTTTACAGAAAACCCTTGCCTCTCAGGCTGTATTTTCCAATCTGAAATCTGTCCAAAAAACCCTACAGAGCCCCATTTCCATATCTTTATCTTCCTCCTCTACCCCACTTGCATTCTCTATCTCACAAACCCATACACATACCCCGCCTCCAGTGTATAAGCACTACCTCAGCCTTTCTCGAATAGTGTCAAACTGAAGTATAATGATCAGTAATGATCTCATAACAAACAAAACCACAAACCAAAACACCAACCAGAGCACATAGCAGAAAGCTGCAGAAGAACAACTGACTGCCCTCAAGTCTCTGTTATGGCAATGGTGATAGATGAGAGAACATATCAGAAATGTGAATCACCCACTTTGAGTTTGTTCTTAAATCCTATGATTGCTTCTGCTTCTGATTCTATCAGGGATTTGCCACATCCAAAGTGGAAAGCAAGTAACAAGGTAAATCACTGGGTACTCACTCTGTGCTAGAATATGACCTATCCTTTTAAATTAATTTTTCTTAGTAAGTCAAAATGTTGGAGTTTTTTTAATTAATAACTTTTTGGACAAAATCTCAATGCATCACTGTGGGGTTTTTTTATTGTTGTTGTTTCCTTCCCATTATTTCTGTTTTGTTATTTTGGACCCTGAAGTAGGTTATTTGAAAAGTCATGTAAGTAGCTAGGGAAATGAATTAACAACAATTGACTGTAAGTAGCTAATGGTGGCTGGATTGAACATTGAATGATTGGGAAAACCACTACAACCTGCTCTAATACCACTATCACAGAGTTTTTTGAAGTATAGAGTAACTTTGACTTCTAATAGATAACGTGTGATTTTATGTTTAGGTCATTGATGCATTTGGTATATTCAAAGCCAACCAAAGGTATATTTAAAAAATGTTTTTTCATGTTGCTATATTGAGATTGTGATTTTTATCTCTGTTTTAACTTATTTTAAATCACTATATGAAATGTTGATATTTTTTGTGATGTTTAATCAAAGCCTTTCTTTTTTTTACTATCTTAAAGTTTAAAAGAGAATACATTTGAAATTATTTCTAGCTCTCTTAATTATTGAAAAATAACCAGCAAATTGTTAAAATGTAGTGGATTGTCATGGGGATATGCCTAGAAGAAAAAATACACATATTTGCATTTCATTCTATATCCTTTAAATAGGAAGTAGCAGGTAAAGTGTGAGTGTTGAAGCAGAGGTGACATTGAAAGGAAGAGCACTGTGCAGTGGCCTTTCTGGGTGAAGCTGAGTGGGTTTTTTCTTCCAGAAGAGAGGCTTTGTGTTTTAGAACAGTGATGGGAGGAAGTCCTCACTATGGGTTTTTCTTTTTGAAAATGTCTATCATGGCTGTTAAATACCAGAGAAGTTTCCAGAATTATTCTATACTCTTCAAGCTTCTTAGACATAGAAAAGATGGAGACTCTTGTTATTTTTTATGATAGTGTTGTGCTTTTTCATATGCTAGAGATATATTTAAAGCACTTTTGGAAAATAATGCATTATTGTGAAAAAAAAAAGTCACTACACCTGTTCAACTGTGCTTACCAGAGGCAGAAGGATTCTGATTATTTAGACCTATAAGCTTCTAATTCATCTCTTAGATGTGATGAATCAATGTGTCTAATTGATTTGCTCAGCTGAATCAAATAAACTGCTCATGATCAGGTATTAAGATAACAATGATCCAGTTAGTGCTGATTTCCGAACTTAGCCTACAAATATTTGCCCATCTGCAGTGATGCTAATGAATTTGCCTTGGTTCATTTGCGAATTCTAATGTACACCCCAATGTGACCAGGTAGCAAATGAATATATATATATATATATATATAGCTGAAAGCAGGTTATTAACCTCATCATAAAAAGCTAAAATACTTTTATAATAGTACATATGCTATAGGCTTCCCCCAAATAGAACAGCTATTATCATTTTCCATTGTAACTCAATGACTATGCAGTCCAGTGACTATAAGTACAATCATTAAGAGTAAACATTAAAATAAGTATTTTTGCCATTTTAGGTGTCTCTTAAACTTTCTCTTTCTTAGAACTAAAGAATAGTGGAAAAGAGACTAATCACATGAAAACAATAGCAACAAAACAGAGTTTTCCCCCAAGAACTTTTTTTCTTCAAAATATTTGAAGGAAATTTTTCCTTTGGTTTTTGTATTTTTACTTTTGCCCTCAGCTCTTATAGTCTAATTGTTTCTGATGTTATAATGTTATAATGTTATCTAGAAACATTTCATAAAGGAGAAAGATTTGGCTTAATGCAATATTTTTATAATATTCTTATGTCTTATTTTAGGTGTTTTTATTTGAAGTAAAAGAGCTTAGAGGCCCATGGGTAGGCTTCAGAGAGTCTCCATTTCCCCTTAAAGCCTATACAAAATTATATGCGTGTGTTGTGTGTAATGTATATTTTCCTAGGGAAAAGATCAAGTTTTATCAGACTCTCAAAGTCCATGACTACAAAAATCAGAACCACTGACTTATTAAAACCATCTGAAAGAGCATAAAAGTGTCTTAATTACTTTTGGAGACTGTCCTCCCTCTCTGCTTCTCCCACCTCCTAACCCCCCTTTCAGGGTCTTAGCAATGTTTTTCTTTTCATGATCCAGGCTTGGGAGTGTGGGGGTGGGGAGCAGAGTGTTGAACTTGCAGGTTGAGCTTGAAGATAAATCAGCTGAAATGAAAATTGTAGCTTAAAGGAAAAGAAAATAAAAGCTACAAATGCAGCTCTAGGTACGGTGGAAGAGGTTAAAGAGATATAATTAATTTTAGTGTAATTATACATTCATTCTAGGACCTATACTAGCATTTTTTTTCATGAACTGTATCAAAACTACAATATTGGCTTATGAAAAGTAATATGCAAATATTTTGTTTGAGAATGAGGATGCACAGTAGCCTAGTTTTGTTATGTACAGAAAAGTTTAAACTTTTAAAAATACATTTCTTAAATTTTAAAATCAAGCATTAAGTTCATAAAGACTAGGAATAATTTCTTTTTATTTATAGCCTACAATTAAGACTGAAACTTTACAATTTAGACAAACCTCAATAATTGCCAATAAAGGTTGGTATCTTATTATCAATTATTGATTGGTAAATTGAATTATTGAAATTCAGGTTAATGAACTAAATTTTCTCTTTTTCTAATTTCCTCATGTTTTTTAACATATACCTTTTTATTGAAAGCAGTCTGTACCATTTTGGAATGGAATATGTTTTAGAAAAACAGATATAAAGTAATGTGCATTTAAGCATATTATTTATTGACCTTTATATTTTAAAAAAATGGAGGTATTTTAATCATTTGGGTTCATAGTTTCATTTACTAGGCACATATTTCTTTTAAAATAAATACTTAAATAAAAGGAAGGCACTAATATATAAATTATGATGTTCTCAGTTTATCTTTGCCAAGCACTAAGATATGAATTAAGACAGAATTTAATTCAGAACTGTTTTGACATTATATAAAGTCTCCCATTTCAAGCCAACTTTATGTGTGCATTTAAAATATGTTAATCCTAAATAATACTAGCCCAGAAACCCATGGTATAGGGAAAACTTAAGGCCCAAATAGGGCTGTTAATATTTTGAGCCTCCCAAGATGGTTCATATAAATGTGATACTGCCCAAAGGCTGTTTCTGTCTGTATAAGGCATCTAATGAGGTTCTGTTTAGTCTGCAAAGGATAATAAAGCAGTGCTGAATGGCTTTGTCCCAGATGCACTATGAATAAGATGCCTGGTAACAATAGATCAAAGCCCCCTTGAGGCATCATAGGCATTTATTATGAAGCGCTCAAATGTGACGGTATACAAGTCACCAACAAAATAGCAGTTATTTTATGAAAATTATGGGGGCGAGGGTGAGGTCCTCTTTAAGTGTGCCAATAAAATGCAATTAAACAGATTATATTGCTAAAAACAGTCTGCTTTGGGCTGATTTTGCATAATATATTCATTTAACTGGTGTCCACATAGCCAAATGTTAATAGAGGGGAAATGTTCCACACAGTTTCCCAGTCTGAGAGTTGCAGGTTGGGTTGCAGAAGTCATCAGAGGCAGCCCTCTGTTTTAGGTGATGCAGAGAGAATGCAGTTAAGAGCCAAGTTTACTCTGCTTCTAAGTGTTATAGGTCCATGTGGGTCCCTGCAGAGAACTGAACTGAGTCATTCTCTGTACCATTTTCCTCTTTTTAATTCTTAAGATAAAAGATTAATTCTATTGAACAAAAAAATCCAGATTCCTCCAATTTCCTCTAATTCTTAAAACAAGAGAAAAGAATTTCTTCCAATTCTTAAAATGAGAGAAAAGAAAGACAAATGACCTTGACCCTCCTAAAAAAGGATGTCTTTTCATTTTTTTTTTGAGACAGAGTCTCACTCTGTTGCCCAGGCTAGAATGCCATGGCATCAGCCTAGCTCACAGCAACCTCAAATTCCTGGGTTCAAGTGATCCTCCTGCCTCATCCTCCCAACTAGCTGGAACTACAGTCATGTGCCACTATGCTCAGCCAATTTTTTTCTGTTTTTAGTAGAGATGAGGGTCTCGCTCCTGTTCAGGCTGGTGTCGAACTCCTGACCTCAAGGGATCCTCCCAGATCAGCCTCCCAGAGTATAGGATTATAGATGTGATACACTGCACCTGGCCTGGCTTTTCATTTTCTTAAATCTTCAGACTATGCTTTATCTCAAATTTAGTCGTTTTTATTTGGTAAAAATAAAAAAATTTTATAGCTGTCAGCTGTTTATAGCTGTTAGCTCTGAAAACAGTTGAGAATACAACTGTGGAGTTAAAAATACAAACCATTTAGCTTTTTAAGTATTCTTAACCATTTAGCTTTTTAAGCAATGTTGTCAATGACCTCTTTCAAAACATTTCTGTAAACCTTCTAAGATGCTGTAGATAACAAAGGTCTATTTGGGTTCAGGATAGGCTGCATGTGGCATGTCTTTCTCATTTATTTTCTTGCCTTGTTTTCAACAATGATTTATTTATTAATTTTAATGAATGAAATTATTCTTATGTCTGATTTACCCTCTTGTGAGATCATATTTATCATTGTATACCTAATTGAGAGCTAGTATATGTGCTAAATATCTCTTCTATATCACTGCTATTGTCTAGTAGTGGTTCATATATTCCAATCTATGTAATAGTTACATATCCCTGTATAAGTAAACAATTTTGCCAATGCTAAGGTGGTAAGATCTATTCCTTTCAGTAACTATACTTGATTGTTGATATTTACTATGAAATTAAACCGTCTAGTCCTAACACTAGATAAGATGAGAAAAGGTATAGTGATTTTTTATGACTATTTTTCTATTGTAGAGATCATTCTAAGAGTTCTCATTTTTACATATTTAAAGTAAATTATTAATAATAGAGGGTAAATTAGAAAACCTATTTGAAACAATTTTTAATAGCTTTGGTTTTATAATTATGTATTATGTTTTATTTGCAGGAACGTGTAATTGCATTAGAAACGGTAAGTTGGGGCATTTTCTTTCTCCTTGTATCAGAATTACTGCTGTCTCCTGATGTGGATTTCAGAGCACACCAAAGGAATCAATTCCAGAAAGCATTTCTAAAACTACATCTAAGATTCAAAGGGGAAAATGACCTAACTATATCTAAAAGGTATGTTAATACAGAATTTTTAAAATGAAAAAAATTAAAATTTGAGCATATTTAAGTGGTCACTTATCTCTCAGGACTCATGATGACAAGATGTACTAATTTATGGAAACCATAATTATTTTAAATATAATCAATACTTGTGTATTTGTTTCTGTATTTCACAAGCACTAAAAGGATTAGTTGATGAGACACTGAGATCTGGATGCTATTTATACCATGAAGCCCAGGTTGTTTTCACCATTCATATATTTTTTTTACATTGTTTTCCCCAATATCCCAAACAGAATGATAAACGCTGGCCAGCTTTTTACTGAGTAACCTTACTTATATAAATCTAGTATTAGGAAATAATGTTTTAATTGCATAGATGTGAAGACTACATTCTTACAATATTTATTGGAAAATTACTTTTAAATTTTAAAAAAGGGAAGCCAACTTATTGTTTAGCAATAAAGTAATATTTAGGTAAAGTATAGAATTTCCGCCCAACATGCCCCATAATATTTATAGAAAAGGTTTATAAAATAATATTAAATGGAAACATATTCAGGATATAAAATCTTATTTACTTTAATGATAACATATAATCATATAAAAAACAGAAGAGAGTGAGCAAAACTCACAATATTGACTTGTTGGATAAGAATTATGGGTTGTAATTTTATTTTTGTTTGTTTTAATAAGTGGTTATATTTTATAAACATTTTTATAATGAAAACCATTTAAATTGGAAGAACAGTAAGATAAATTATAGTGCCATCTTATGATGAAATATTATACAACTATAAAAAGTCATTTTCAAAAAAGCAAATATTAATCTGCTGTCATAGGGGAAAAAAGTGTTATATAAAGATATATGAAGAGTGTGATGGGCTAGGTATGGTGGCTTATGTCTGTAATCTTAGCACTCTGGAAGGCCGAGGCGGGAGGATTGCTTGAGCTCAGGAGTTTGAGACCAGCCTGAGCAAGAGTGAAATCGCATCTCTACCAAAAAAAAAAAAAAAAAAAAATTAGCCAGGCAACTAAAAATAGAAAAAAATTAGCTGGCCATGGTCGCGCAGTGCACCTGTAGTCCCAGCTACTTGGGAGGCTGAGGCAGGAGGATTGCTTGAGCCCAGGAGTTTGCCTAGGTGACAGAAGAGACTCTGTCTCAAAAAAAAAAAAAAATGTGATGCACAGAGGGAAGTAAAACTCAGTGGAGAGCCACCAGAGGGGGCAGGAAGGGGAATAAACCAATCTAATGGATACTAGAACACTATTTGGGCAATGGGCATACCTATAGCCAGGACTTAAGAATTACGAAAATGATCCATGTAATCTAAAACATTTGTACCCCCTTAATATTTTGAAATTTAGAAAAAGAATGTGTTGCAAATATTAAATGTGCATATTTTTGCATTAAAAAACCTTTAAGAAAATACATAAAATATAAAGTGTCTTGGGAGTACTAATGATTTTTTTCTTTATATTTTTAATGAGCAGGAGAAAAATAAAAATCTCATAAAGAATATGGTTAATGAAGAATAAAATATTTATTTTGTGAGTTTGAAGATTGAAAAGATGCTAACAGCACATTTTAGTAACATGTAAGCAAGTGATTTTGATTGACAGTGTCTAGGCTGTAGTGGGTAAATATTAAATAGCTTCTTCCTTAGATTTAACTGGGCCATTTAGAAAGTACACTGACCTTCTCAGTTTCAGTATGATGACATGATAGGTGAATAAAATGTTTAGTGTTCTTTCACATATATTTTACCCTTAGAAAGTGTCTTGCCAACAGGATTTGGCTTGTGAATTGAATGCTTTTTTTAAAAAACATGAACAAAAATAGGATTTTTGAAGTTTGAAGACCTGGATTCAGTGTACGAAATGCCACTTATATTATACAACATTTAGCAAATGGCTGCTTTCTTGAGTCCTTCATCTGTATAAATTGTTGCAATTAAAATTATTTTATGAGGTCAGGTATTAAGAGAGAAAATACATGTGAAAATATTTAGGACCAAACAAATGTTAGGTTATCATTATCATTATTTGATTGCTTATTATTTCTTATTTAATTATTTGAATTATACCAATATGCTATGCAAAAGTGAAAATATCAGCAATGACAAAAACCTGTAACTTTTATTTGTACTTGTTAGTTTTTTAAATTTATCTGATATCTTTGGTAACAAAGTTCTATGGAGTAGAATTTTAAATGTCTTATTCTAAGGGCTCCCCTAGAAATAAAGATGAAAATAAAATGTCATCATGAGAAAAATAAGATTGCTTAAATGGGTAGGTTTTTTATGGTAGTAGTTTTTGTAAGACAGTTTTAATTTAAAATAATTATAAATAAAACCATAAAAATTAAAATGCTCAGCAATAATGTTAATGATCAAATATTATGAAGTCCTTTGACTTCATATGGCATTATAAGGAGCAGAATTTAATACACTTGGTAGACTACTGAACTGATAAAGTACTTTATAATTCATAATATCAAATATGCTGAAAGCAATATCAAGATCATTTATAATTCTCTCACAACTCAGCACTTCCACCTCAGAAAAATGTTGGTGGTCCACATTTGGTTGAGTTGGTATTAAGGGCACATAAGATGTTGTTTGTAGGGTGTATATCATGGTGATATAAATCTGCAAAAGTTTGAAGTCTCACCACTCCATTACAAGTATTTATAATAGATTGATTTTAAAGGTTCAATAGTTATAATGCTGGAAAATAAGAAGGTCTTTTCATCATAATGAGAAACTTAATTTGGCTTGCCACCAATTCTCTACATGCGTAGGTCACAATCAGATGCCCATTTTTCTTCCTTTTTCTCAAAATTTCCCTCTCCTTCTTCACTAGTGGGTAAGCTCTTTAAATTAGAAATTGGATTTTATTTGCAAATGCATCACCAAGATCTGTAAAAAATGTCTCATATATAGTGGACAATTAATAAACATCATAGAATGAAAGAATGAATACTGAATGAAATGTCTCTTACCCTCACATGAGGCTGCACTTCAGAATATAGGTATGAACAGTATCAGTCCAATAGTCAAGGGGAAAAAAGTCCCCAGAAGCACATCAATTTATTCTTGATTTCTTTGGCTTTCTAGTCAATATCATACTCTATTTGGCATTTCACAGAAGCTCTAAACATCTTCACTAAAGTTTAATATGAATTTTTCTGAGAAGGAACCACCATCAGCCAAAATATAGTAGGTTGATTTCCCAAATAAAGCTAAATGATTACCTGGGGAAAAAAAATTTTTGATTGGGGGCCTTGGTTGGGTTTCGTTGTTGGTTTTTTTTTGGCCTTCTTTTAGGGCGTTTTTTTGCCCTTGGGGTTGAAAAAAGGGGGACCAATTTTTGTTTTTTGCCTTCAGGAATTTATACTCTAATTGCAGAGAGAAGCCACTCACATTGAAATAAATTAATGGCCTAAGATGAAAATGCACTGTACAGCATGTGAATACAAAAGATACTGCATTTTGCAGGAGCTATTATGAAAAAAAGATAATTGTAAAGTAAAGACTTCATTGTGATCTAGGTTCATCATGAAAGTCATGGATTTTGTAGTTTGAGAACATGATGAGGAGTTTAGATTTATCTCTGAAATATGAAGAATCAGTAGTGTCAGGTAAAAAGAGCCAGAGAAGCCATTGCATATTGGGACATCAATCAAAGTTTAAAGGCAGTGATGAACAAAGAGTTTGTTAAAAGGATTTTTTTAAAAGGTAAAATCATGACTTTCATGCAAATGTGAACTGAACTCATGACAAATGTTTTTATTTAACTCATTAATTAGTGAGGGAATGAGCAAGATGCTACAACTGACTTAAACAGGCATTCAAAGAACCACACATATATAGGCAGTAAAGAGTGCTGAAATGAATTTAAAATCAAGGCAAAATTGGCTTCTTCTGCAGTGGGCATGAGAAATCATTGGAACCTCACCAGACAAAACTTTATTTCCTGTGAACAAGAATCGTTTGCATTGCTATCAGTTATCTACAACTCACATAGTTACAGATACAGAGATTCCATAGAATCAGAAAACCCAGAGAGTGTGCTAGGCAAAAGCTAGTTTTCCATAGAAGACAACTAGGAAATTTTTGTTCCATTTCAAAGCCTTTCACATTTTTTCCCCTATTGGTTCATAGGAGATAACATATATAACAGTTTGGGAGAGTAATAGGAGACATTCTGGAGTTTTAAAATACAAACCAAGGAGTTTAGACTTGATCTTTCATATCAGGGATAGAAACAGGTTCTTCTTGCCAGTTCCTACTGGTCAGTACTTGCTACTGAAGCATTCTGTTGGGAAAGATTCTGGCTGCTCCTTTAGAAACAGTGTTGCGATCACTTTGCATTCTCTGTCACATGCATTGCAAGATGGGGAGAGGGAAGGTAGTAGGTAGCCCAGCTATGAAGCCAACAGGGAACCATCGATGGTGTTTAATCTGGGATTGTGGTTTGGTAAATGTGGTGTATAGAAATACAACTGTATTAACAGTATGCAGGATAGAGTAGAGTGATGAGAGAATGCAAGCACTGATAAGGAGAGTGCACCTTGAAGGTGATCCAACCTTAGAAATGTTCTTGGAAAATTAGGGATAGGGGCAGGTTGGTGCCAGAAAGGCAGGGTCAAAGTAGGTGCTGTTGTTTAGAGAAGTGAACTTAGTAAATGGGAGGTCAAGGGAGAACAGGAAATACAAACACTACATTAAGAGTCATTTCAGGAAGTGAAAGGGAATGTAAGGCAATTCAACTTGGAGATACAAATTCAATTGTTCGTATCACCTTTCAAATCTGTCTTTATTTTCATTTCCACTAATACCATGGTAATTTAAATTCTCATACCTTTGTATGAAAGTTAGGCATGACTACAGTAACAGAGAAACTCCAAAATAACAGGGGATTAAGTAAGATAAAAATGAATTTCTCTCATGTACCAACCCAAATATAAGCTGTCCATGCAGGTAGGATGTTACCATGGTATGAGAAATACAGGCTCCTTCTATCTATCTTGTATGCTCCTCCATCCTCAGTATGTTGCCTCTACCTCATGATCCAATGCCTCTTTCACCTGTGGCCTTTATATTTGCATTCTAACTAGAGAAAAGAAAAAGAGAGATGGCATGTAACTTACCTTTAGTAGAAACTAGAAGCTGCACTTACCATTTATGTTCATATCTATGGGCCACTACTTAGTGACATAGACTTATTTAGCTCTAACATTCAAAAAAATAACCAGATAAACCATAGGCTTTTGGAAATTTGAAAACAAACTTCTAAATAATTCATAGGTCAAAAAATATAGTAGAAATTATAAAATATATAGAACTGAATGATGATGAAAATAAGTGTTAAAATATGTGGGATATAGCAGAAGTAGTATCTATGATAAATATTCAAGACTTAAATGCTTACATTAGAAAAGAAGATAAAAATCAATGAGTTTATTACCCAACGTAAGAGATTGAAAGGAAATTAAATTAAAAGGACAATAAACCTAAAGAAAGCAAAAGAAAGGAAAAAATAGAGAAAAGACTAGAGATTAATGAAATAGTAAACAAACATGCAATAGGCAGAGCCAACAAAGTAAAATTGGTTAGTTGACCAACCAGTCATAATGAAAAAGATGAATGTCCATTATGAATGAAAAAGAGGATATAACTATAGCTATTGGAGAATTTTGCCAGATAGTATTGTGAATAATTTTCTAATTATAAATTTTATAAAAACTCTTCCAAAGGCTAGAAAAAGAGGAATATGTCCAATTCATATTATGAATTGGCATAACTTTTGCAGCAAAACCAATAGAAAGTCTGAATAAGAGAATTGAGGGCCTTCTCAGTTATTAATATGGATGCAAAAATATTCACAAAGTATTAGTGAAATAAATTCAGGAATGTTCAAAAAGGATAATTTATCGTGAATAAATTGAGTTTATTCCAGGAATTCAGGGTTGGCTTAATATTAGAAAATTAATGTAATTCACCCTAGTGATAGATTAAGGAGAAATAAAATTTGACTTAGTTATCTCAATAGATGAGTAAAGAGCATTTATTTCGCTATTATCGTTTTCATTGCCATAAACTTTTTAGCAAACTAAAAATAGAAGAAAACTTCCTTAATCTGATAAAAATCATATGGAAAAAAATCTATGGCAAGCATCACCTTAGCTCTGAAATGTTGAATGTCCTCCTTTAACACCAGGAACAAAGGATTTGCCCTTTCACAGCTTCTATTAAACACTGTGCAGGTGGTCCTAGCCAGTGCAGTAAAACTGTCACCATTTGCAAATACTGCTATTGCTTATATAAAATGCCCAGGAAATTCATAGTTAAATTATGAAAAAAATAGAGTTTAGTAAGTTTCTTTGATAAAAACCAGTATATTCTCCTTGTGACTCCAGCAACAATTACTGAGAAAATGTAATGAAAAGTATACTGATGCAAAAGTAGCAAAAAATACAAAGTACATAGGAAAAAATCTAACAAAAAATTACCAATCCTTTATACAGAAGATACTTTGGAATAGCCAAGAGATTTCTGAAAAACAAGGTGGGGGAATTTTCTTAACACATATCAAAACTTACTCAAGCTATGGAAATTAAAGTAATGTATTCTTGGCACAGAAATGTGTAAATTGTTCAATGTAATCAAATATAGAACTCAGAAACAAACATAACTGTGCATGGAAACTTTATGTCTGACACAACTGGCATCATGTATCAGGGAAGTAAGAATGAACTTTTCAATGGAGGGTATTAAAAAGTTAAACTGAACCTCTAACTATCAGAGGTAAAAGTGGATGAAAGCCTAAAAGTGAATGGCAAAACTGTATAATTTTTAGAACCAAAAATAGGTGAATATTTTCAGAGGATTTCTGGGAAAAAAAGGCAAAGAAGGCACTGAAAACATAGGTCATATACAAGAAATGACTGATGTGACCACATTAAAAGTAAGAACTTCTGTAAATCAAAATACAAACAAGGAGTAGAAGGAAAAGCTACATTTAGGATACAGCAGATAGAACCAATTACTAGTTTAAATCCAAATCTTATTGCCTACAAAACAATTAGAAAATGATTACCCAGGTTACAAAAGAAAAAAAAAAGGGTAAAGGGCATAAATAAGTAAGCATTTTGATTGAAGAAGATACATGTGAAAAGATACTCTTCATCAGTAATCAGAGAAATGGTAATTAAAACCACAAAGAATTGTCATTTTCTTTAAACTGTGTGTGTGTGTGTATATATATATATATATATATATATATTATTTACTCTTTTGTATGTATGCCATATTTCACCATAAAAACAGAGCAATTTGAAACATGGTAAAAGAACTTTTTAAAAATAAATTTGCTGCAAAATGATTAATGCTGTCCCCAACAATAATGTTCAAGAGAGCTGATGAGTTAAAGCATGATCTTCAAACTGAGGTAGCATGCACCTGGGAGTGTACAAAAGATCTTCTGATGGGAATGTATCCCGGCACAAATAGTTTTAAGAGAATTGGTTTTTATATCCCCAGTTTCTACATACACTTTCTCCTAAAATGGCTCTGTGGGAAGAGGCTGTCTTACTTTTCATAACCAAATTCCTCCTACTTTATTTTTTAAAAAAACACAAAAATCAAAAACCAAAACCTACTTCTCACCCATCCAGAATTTCATGATGGCAAATTCCTCTAGGCACTTTGGGGTGCCAAAAAAGGGCCTGCTGGCCTCCTTATTCAAGGCAGTGAGAGAGAACTTCTTAGTCACAGGTATATTTTTGTTAAGTACAAAGAGTTGTATTAGATATACAGGGTAGTGGGATTGAGGTGTTCTGAATTACACAGATATTGTGAATTGAGGATGTGTGAAGACTTTTTTATTTAATGACCTCATCTCTTCCACCACCCTGCTACAATCAAAGAATGTATACTCCAGAAATCAAAGCTAAGAGAGTGTTGGTAAGAAATCACTAAAGACAAAAGTATCTTATTTTATCCATGTAGCAGACTCTGGCCAGGCTCCATGCCTTATCTATTTATCTGTTTTAGAATTATAATTCAAAAGTGAGACAGTTGTCACAGGGACATATCTTAGCACATTTCATTGAATTAGAAAATGAACTTAGACTCTTTTTTCTGCCAGAAAGTAAGCCTGATTTGGCTCATTGATTTGACAATGAGGACTGACTTTGCCAATCTGTAGGTCTAGGTTTATATGAATATATATTTAATGCTAAGATTAAAATAAATATATCAAAGATATTACCCTGATAGAGTAGATTAAAGTGAACAAGATTTTTATTTTTCTCAACCCTTTCTTCATATGTTGAGTTAAACAAAATACTTGTAAGTGAAAGAACAGTTATAGTCCTTTGTTAAGTCTTAGTAAATAAAGCCTTTTTGGTATATTTTCCAGAAACAGAAAGTAAACTGTTAATAACTATATTACAGTCCTTTGGTAGGTTAGGTGGTTTCCAGTTCTTTGCTTTCAACAAAGTTGGAAGAGGACTTAACAGAGCCTATAGATCATTAAATTAATTTTTGATGACAGATAGCTACATAATATTTGCCATAAGAGTAGGAAGACTTTTCAAATTCCAGAAATTGAGTAACATTGTTATAACGAAACTTCTTTCATTCTCATGTACTTTTTATGTGAAAAGGATTTGTTAGTGATTAAATCTGTACCCCCCCAAAAAAAAAATAAGAATAGAAATGAAATGGAGCCCTGTCTTATTCAAATAAAAAATTAACATTTACCCATGGTTACCTGAACTAATTGAGTGCAGGAGAAGAGGAAGCTATATCCATTCCATTTCATTAAAAGAGATACTTTTAAAAGCTTTTTTTTAACATTTCACATTTAATTTTTCTCAAAACTTATATCCAGCATTAATTGTGATGATAATTCAATTCATAAAAGCATATAACACTTAAAGCATTACAATTAGGAAATTTTAAAAATCAACATTTCTTTGTATATTTGTATGTATACATTGCTGTTATAAAGAAGGATGAAGTATGATAGAGTAACCAATAAAAAGACTTACAAGCTTAAATATATTTTATATTAAGATAGATATCTGCAAGGGAAAATAGATTGGAAATAAAAAAGGAAAAGGAAGAAGACAAATATCTGTCTTTTTTAAAAAAGATCATATTTATTTTGAAAGTGGATAAATGGTAGCAACAAATTACTGAGGTATTTAAAGTTTACTGGGTAAGTTTATGTAAGTGATATAGAGTTTTATTTGAAAATACCATTATTTACAATAGTTCCAGGCAATGTTACCTTTTGCAACTACCTAATGATGAAAACATTTAGACAACTTAAAAAAGTATGTGTGTGTGGCAGGGGGAAGGGCAATACATAATATAATAACTTATTTTAGGAAGTATCTAATCAAAATTTTGAAATTGACTTGGAGCAAATGTGTAATTAGTAGTTGCAATTTATTAGCATCTAATCAGCTTCTGAAATACATAAAGAAGTCTTATGTCCCATATTTTCAAAGTGTATTTACAGATAGTATACTAACAATTTATAGGATAAAAAGTATATGGAGAATAGTATACAACGATTTTTCCATATTGAGAAATATTATAAAACACTGGTAAACTCTTAGAAATATGATTTTTATTTTTAAAGAAACTGTGGAGTCTTAAGCAGGATTCATACAGTTAACATTAGCAGTAACAGATTTGAACTCTGTGTACTAGTCGATCTTCAAGATCTTGGTGTCCAAGATCACAAGGGTATGCCCATATGTCTCACTGAAAATTACAGAATAAGTAACACTATATACACCTACTTCAATCATTTGCATTCGAGTACACGATTGCTGTTGGGGGTTTTTAATTTCTTTTCTTCCCACCCTGGATCTAGCACTAATTGTGCTTCATTCTACTACTTGTAGGGATCACTCTGCAAGCACATAAGTTGAAGAAGAGCCATTATTCTTTGTTAGGACACTGAATTGTGCTCTAGGGCACTTAGAAATATAGGAACACAAATAAGTTAGTATACTAAAATGCCCCTGTTAAGCTCAGGAAACAACTGACTTGAGTATGTAAATCTGGCCAAATAACTGTTAATTATTTGCAGTG